AGATCATCTCATCGCCTACTTAAACTTACATAACATTTAACAGTTAGGGGCAGAATAACGACGATCTTCTTGGTCAGTCTCACGGATGACATCGCTGGTCACATAGGTGCCAAAGCAGATAATATCAACCAAGTGGCTATATTGATGCCTGCGGGAGAGAGTGGCCAATTTAAATTTTTCCGCTACGCTAGCACCTACTTCAATAAATTTTAAATGACATCTTATTAAAGGGTCTAGAAATAAAAAACCTTTTGAATGGTATATAAAGATATTTGTTTATAAAATGCAAAAATTACCACAAAAAACAATATTAATTGCATATGATTTTGAATATAGTCAAATAAGAACGTCAATAAATTAACTAAGAGGTACCCTCTACAGTTTGCGCCTCGACAGACTGTGGTTGGTGATTTTGGACGTTGTGAGCAATATAGGAGAGTAAAATGATCAAGCAATTGCAATTTCTCGTACGAGCGCCCGACTCACCCCCCTCACCCCCCCCCTCACCCCCCACCAATTTCGATAGCATATTTAGTATGCATATGAATTCGAGGTGATGCAGGATGAAGTAGAGCATAGATTAATGGATGACATCCGATACATTGTCCATGACTAGTGCAGAACTTAAATGATTATTGCTACAAATGTACTATCAGTGATGTCTGTGGTAGAGGACTAGACGTTTTAAGATTTTTAGCGACCGTGATTAGATGGTGTGTGTAGCTGCTTGTGAATGGCATGCGCGTCGTTGGTTGATATGTGTGTTTGGTTTTGTGAGTAGTTGTTAGTAGGACAGGTATGGATGTTTTATTTGATACGTTTGTATGTTGTTATGTTACTGTTTGTTTTACTTGGTCCTGGTTTAGTAGGTAAAAGAATGTGATTTGTTGATTAGGATGTTTAGGGTATATAGGTGTAATAGGTTGTTGTTAGTTGGGATTGGGTATGATTTGCCTTGTAGCATTGGTGTGGATTGTTCAGTTTCTGTACTGTGGGATATTTCGAAATTGGCAAAATTTCAACCGATTTATCGTTTATTTGTCGTTTACGTGGAATTAATGATTGGTTAATGAAATGGAATTGGGTTGAAAAAAAGTAAGACTTTATGCATCGGTGGAATGTTGTTCAGTTATATGTTAGTGGCAGGTGTGTGGATTGTGGGTCTAGTGCTAGGTGGGTGTTTTGTGTCAAAATGAATATTGTTTTTATTTATTTAATATACATATCATGGCTAGTGTATTCCTTATCCAAATATTTGTTTGGGTTATCTGATATTTCAATAAGGCTAATTGAGATGATGTAAGTAGTAAATTTGGCATGCAATTTCAGTACTGAACAGTGAGTCTTTGTTTCACAAAGGTAATTTATTAAAAATATCCATTGCTCAATTTAGTTAAGAGCTCTTGGTTCCTTGTTCTGTTAGTATCTTTTATATTTAGTTGAAGATCTCCTTCCAGGGGACTTTCCATCTCAATTGGAGTGTAAGAGATTTTAGGGTTTAAATTATTTGAGTTTATATCACTCAGCCTGCCAACCTTAAGCAAATAATTGCCATCTTTTCCGGTGGAGCAATAAGGGGGTTGTGATGACGGCCGCTGCAACACCTAAAGGTGTCTCATGATTGGAGGCGAGGTAGGCTGCTAAGCTCCACCCATTTCTGTGTCGTAATGGGAATGGTTGTGGTTGACGGCTAGCTGTTTTACACTACTGGTTATTATTTTGACCAGTAAAGAGTATTTTGAAATATAGTATCCTAGATGGCTTTTGATATCATATGGTGGGTTGTGCGGTGTTATTAATATCCAACAAAAGAACAATTATGTATGAAATATCTGAAGTAGGAAGAATGCATCTGGCAACTCGATAAATGTTTACCGCCTACTTGATTCCTGTTGTGCGAGAAGTGTCGCGTTTGCAGTAACTGCTCGAAAAGATGGCAAATTATTTCTTGATTCATTTTTTTTCAGTTTGGTATGTGTGAATCTATAATTGTGTTCTATTGCAAATTATGTAAGTGAAAATAGTCTTGATTTTTTATGAAGTGACCGCACCCCTCTATGACTAGCCCCTATTACTCCAGCCACTCCTGAGGATCCGCAAACATAACTATGGGGCTTCACCAATAGACCCACACCCAACCACTATGGGTGAATGCAGTATTTGTTATGACCTATTTGCTTTATTTCTGATCTGCCTTGCTTGCACAGAATATTTCATGTATTAGTGAGTGTATCTTTTTCCTTTCTTTATGAGTGCCATTTGATTTTCCTTTATTATGATCAATATGCAAAAGTATGCCAAAGTATTACATGTTGCATGAATTTCACATTTTCAACTTGCAGAGGAAATACTGTAGTAATGCTATATTGTCATTTTAACCCATACAGGCAAGGTTTTCCATGTACCATATGGTTGTGTGAAATTAAATTATATATACCAAATTTGGGGGAATATTCTGTCAGAACAAGTGCTGCATACCAACCGCTGTAACTAACATATATGCAATGCTGCCTTGAAATTCTTTAAAGCTTTGATTTTATTTAGCATCCTTTTTCAAGTATGCTAGATTAAAGTGCAACAATTCATCTTTAAGATACAAACCAAAAAAAATAAGAAAGGCATTATTGTAATGAACTCCTAGAGAAGAATACCAGGATGTACAGTGACATGTGCCATTAGATTCTCAATAGTCCCATGCATGATTGTCCTGGTTGGTGTAGGAGTTATGATAAAGTGCTTGTTATGCTGTGATTTTCCTTGTATTTTTCAATTGAACTGGTTGAAAAATCTTTGTAAATAAAGGTAAATTTGAAAAAAAATAAAAGATGGTCAAGCTTGTTAGAGTAGTTATTATAAAGCATTAGTTAGAATGAAATTCTGTTGGATAGTAGTTTGCAGCTGGTTTGTTGCACTCCTTATGTGACGTCTTTTGGTGCAAAAACCTGCAGGCACCGAAGGCCTACAAATCTAAAGTGCCACTTTATTGGTGCAGAGTCAAATGGTTGCTGTAATCTCAAGCCTGAAAGCTCTAGCAAAGGCCTGCGTACTTCTACCACATATATTCTGGCAACGTTCAAATATTCTTTGTTTGAAGAAAAATTACCAGGGATATCTACAAGCCTTTGTCTGATCAGAATATAGTGTATATTTGAGTTTTTTTCTTTTTCCCCAGAACATCAGTAGGTTCTGGTCAGTCTGTAGACAGATCTGAATGTATAAGTATGGCTCCAGTTATTCAGATGTTTAGAAAGTACCTATGCATCTCCAGGCCTCTTGCTAATCTTTGTAGCCTGCTTGTCTGTTAGCATGTCATCATAGGTCAACAAATCACCATGTCTTACAAAAGTAGACATTCTTACTGATTTTTTGTCAATTAATGAATGAGTACAAGCACAATCTTGCCATTTAAGCCTGCTATCAGAGACCACAACATATTTCTAGTAGATTGGATTTAACATTACTACCATATTTATGTTACAAAGGTCTTAATTTTGAAAGCTGCATGAGAATGTATGGTATTTAAACTTTTTGTGCCATTTAGGTTTTCTCAAAGAAAGGTCCAAAACCACATACAGCATTAGCATATGGTTGATGCCTGAGTTCAAGCCAAAAATTTAATCATTAAATAGGTTAGTAATTTTTTGCCAGGAATAAAGTTATATGCCTAGTGGAAAATGTAGAAAATGTATGAATGAGAATAAAAATCTTCACAGTGCAAGAGATGTATTTTACCAGTATTGATTATGTCTTTGCCATACCATGTATTTCTGATGAATGTATAATCAAAACTGGTCAGATACATTTGCAATGTGAGATGTTCATTCTCATTCATATTTTTTCTGAGTAAAGTTACCCCTCTGAGTAAAATTTTACATGTGAGGGGACTTTCCAGACAGCCCTGCAGTGTACTTTATGCTTACATGCTCTGGTTTTGAGATGATGAAGTATATCCAGCTAAAGGTGTGGCACTACTGGCCTTGTGTATGCACAGGTCTCATTGTGGATGTGGGTATCTAAGCTTCACTTTGGTGAGAAATCTGGGGGTTGAGCATAACCAGCAATAACTTGACCTAGGCCAATTTGAAACAGAGAATCTACGCCATTAAACACAAAACTACAGTGAAAATAGGGAATAAGTCCTTGTGCTTCATGTTGCACAAACGAGAAGTACTATGCATAGTGTTACTCAAGTGAGTGGCATGTGTGGTCTGGTATGGCGATGCTTTTTGCAGGTGAAATGCTATGCCTGGCTAGGCACTTGGACACAAGTCAGGTCCTAGATGGACAAAGCCTCTTGAACCATGCCTTAAGGGGATACATGATAGAGGAAAAGTTAAGAATCACTGACCTCAATGGGGCAATAGATTTTTTTTATTTTGATTTTGTTAATTAATTTTCGACCTTAGAATCCAAGATGATCTTTAATCAGTAATCTTTACTTAGTAAGGAATGCCAAAATTAATTTAGTACCTATTTTTGATATAACATCTAAAGAGTTCCCATACCAGTATTAGTGCCCTCCCTATTATCAGCACCCATTTTAAGGAGTATTAAGGGTTTCATGAATAATTCCTACCTATTATAGGCTCATATGGATAGTAGTGAGAGAAATCCAATGATACCAATATTGTTGGGCCTCATATGTGATGTGGCCTTATTCTATTGTGTACTCAGCATTTTGAGAAGTTAAAAGAAATTTCAGATTGTAGGTTAGCCTGAACAGTTTCTCTCTTTATCTGTGTACAGTGATAATATATATACCATGTTGAGACATTAGTAATGATTGACAGAATATCAGGGACAAAAGAGGTGATAAAAAAGATGCTGCTAATGAGGAAATGATAAAGAAATGAAAAGAGGGAAATTGTCCACACATGATATACAAGTCTGATCTCATGCCTTCATTTCAGATATGACCCTGGAAGTTGCACCATGCAGAGCGTAAGAAGGAAATCCTTACAGTGGAGCCACCATGCCATCCCTCCCATGCAGTGAGCTAGATGTCCCCATGCATCATCCTCGACTGCCTCCTGCCAAACAGCATCATTGTGCCTCTCACCTGCCATAAGGAGATCACCCTTAGCAAGCTCAAGGGTGAGTGTCTTGTATATATATGTGTGTGTGTGTGTGTGTGTGTGTATGTGTGTGTGTGTGTGTGTGTGTGTGTGTGTGTGTGTGTGTGTGTGTGTGGTGTGTGTGTGTGTGTGTGTGTGTTGTGTATGTGCATGTGTATGTGTATGTGTATGTGTATGTGTATGTGTGTGTGTGTGTGTGTGTGTGTGTGTGTGTGTGTGTGTGTGTGTGTGTGTGTGTGTGTGTGTGTGTGTGTGTGTGTGTGTGTGTGAATATTAGATATTAATAGAGAAAACTTTTGATCTGCAATCTGGTTCTTAACCCCCCCCCCCCCATTCATAAGAAATAAAAAATGCTGTCATACATTGCAGTTGAGATTTGGCAGGAGGCCAAAAAGTACCCCTTGTACCGCGTGCTGGGTCAGCCTGAGGAGTACGTACTAGTGGGTGTAACTCAGGATGCAGAGCAGGAGGAGTTTTGGGATGAGACCAAGCGGCTTTGTGACCTGCGCCTCTTCTCTCCAATCCTCAAGGTAGTGGAGCCTCGTGGAAGTAAGGAGGAGAAGGTCCTCAACTATGAGATCAGTGAGTATTTGCTGGGAATTTGAATCTATCTTAGTTTGTTTCATTTTGCTGAATGTCTGAAATGATGATTATTGTACCTTGTATGCTTATTAGTCCATGATTGCTGGTGATACTGTGATGATGATAATATCTTCATAAGTTTAATGATAATACTACTTTCTTCTAGGCTTGGCCATTGGGCGTTCTGTTCATGATCTTGATGATGCTAAACAGCTGCAGTTGCAGGAGTTTAGGAGGAATATCATAGAGGTGAGAGACTTTGTTGGATTAATCCCATAATTTAACTTTCCCTTCTTGTTCTTTTTCACATGAAACAGATCTCATGTATATATTTCTATACATTTTGCATCACTAAGGACATACTTATCATTATTTAATGATGCTCTTAAAATCAGTCATAATTACCAACTGCTGCTACTTGGAAGTAATCCTTAATCTGGCTGAGTGCATGCGAATGGAGACGCTTACCCACTAACGAGCGACAACCCCCTCTGCAGGTGGTGAGTGAAGCGGTGAAGGTGAGGCAGCTGTGTGGCCTTGAGTCATTAGCATGTTACCAACACCCACCTGAGCTGGAACCCACACCACACCTACCTAGGTCCATTGAGAAACACTTAGATGAAGGTACACTGTGTTTTGAAGTTTTTATTTGTTTTCTTAATTATTTTTTTTATTTTTTATTGTGTATGGATCTCGGGTTTGTTGGTTGGAGTGGAGGTTGATTTATGTGTATTGGAGTACATATAGTAGATGTATATGTCTTTGTAAACATTTAGAACTTGTCACTGAGAATGGTGGTTATATTCATAGGCATTATAGGGACCTTTATGTTGACCTTAAGTTATCAATATGAGTTTCATAGCATACGAATATATCATCAGCATCATGAGGGGAGTTGAATTTCAGACGCCTCCGCAAGATATTCAAAGTTACACCAACGTATATTTAAGCAAAGTTGTAAAGATCATATGTACACCAATATGGTCTCTTCATAAAAATTCTGTCTGAAGTTACTATATCAAGAATGTTATGCTGAATTATAGTGTTCTGTAATCTTACAGATACATTTTTGGTTGATTAAACTTTCACTTACAAAATCTTGGGTTGGTGTACAGGTGGTAATTGTTTTCCCACCAGCAAGGTATTCTCACTCAGTGTTGACCCTGAAGCCTGAAAAAAGTATGAAAAAAAAGCGCAGAAAGATCTGAATCTGTGGAGGTTTTGTAGATTTCCAGTCATTCTAGAGATGAAGGAGAAGCATAAAAATGATAATAAGAGAGAGAAGAATATTGTGAAAAGCTATGCTTTAGTTATGAGCCTCCTGAGGGTGTGTTTGAATGCCTTCACCAAAGAATGTGATTGCCTTAAGGGGACCGTCCCTGAGAGAGGGGGGAGGAGGGGGTTAAATTAAGATAGTTAGCGTATAGTATAGGTACATGGATGAGGAAACTACCAAACGAGTATTAACCGCCTGCTATGGCTCGTTGTCTTGCAGCCGGCGTGCGAGTCCCTCAGCACCCGGAGAGGTACGTCGCTATTGAGCGCCCAGGTACACCTATGTGGACTTTTGCTTGCGGCAATCGTGCATAAGGCATTTAATTATGACATTGCGCATAGATATGAGTTCGTGAATGTTCAAGGAACACTTTTATACCAATATCAGGAAAAAATTATATCACCGTGATTTATGACGAAATATTTTGTGAAATATATCTAAAAAAAAATGTATGTTTTGTGTCCTTTTACACACGAAATATGCTTTGATCGAGACTCCCTGGTAATATGTTTTAGTTTACGTGGTAATATATTCGTATATCACATACGAAGCACTAATGTTTAAAAATAGCCTTATAAGGAAGGATTGAAATATTTCCGTTACATTTCGCTCAACGGTCGGTACATCACAGCAGGGGGCAATTTGAATTGATTTGAAATTGGCAGTTACCGTTGTAAAGACCAATTCAATACGAATGTTACCTAAATGTCGGATTTTTAAACTTCGATGTATAAGCGAGATACAGATTATTTCATGTTGAAGATGATAGTACTCAGTAATACCTGCTCTGAAATAAAAACTATATGGAATTTTGAGCTCGGTTGTATGCGTAGTCTTCGTCTGGCGTTCAAAAAGCTATCGCATCCGTTTCGTGCGTTCCCGATAAAAATGAATATGTTTAGACGTTACCGTAAGTCTTAGGCACCATAAATTGGCAAATATCTCACAACACAGGCGTCTGCATGATTTTATGCACTTCTTAGTAAAGATAATGGGTGCAAATGGCTATCATAAACTTTACACTTGTTCTCCCTTGCAATCTGCTAATATTGACAATTATCAAAGAAAATGGGTATGAGAGGGATAACTAATAAATTTTATTATTTAGATATGAAAGTCAATGTAGGCCTACTAAATGATGATGATTAATCTTTTTAACTTTATGTGCGTGCGTTCACGTACATATGATCCTCCTCGAAAATTATAAACACCCAGTGACCATCTCCCCCTCCCCCCCCCCTGTGTGAGGCATGGGGAATATTCAACGACTTTCGTAAGTTCTCGAATTCAATGTACTAAATTCATATGCTTTTGAAATTCTCAAAATTGAACCACCATGTTGTATTCATGCCAGGACTTTATAATTAGAATGATTTTGTACTAATGTTGCCATCCACAGTTCCCCATTTCTTCAAAAAAAAAAAAAAAAAATAAATAAAATGGAAAATAAAAAAAAATATTTTTTTTTTAAAAAAGGTTTTTATCTGGTTTAGATTAGTTGTCTCTATGGTAAAATGCATTTATTAAGCTTTTCACACGAAAATATCAACTTTAATGAACAACGAAAAAAAAAAAAAAAAAAGTGACATACCTTTACAGAATAGCGTCCCTATTGAACATGAAAATTCCTATTGACTTGGTAATCATTGCATTGCAAAGTACACTAAATAAGCGTTTTTTTGATATGTAATATCATTAGATTCAGAGAAAAATAACAGAGATAACGAACTTTGGCAAGGTGCCAAATACAAAACGCCGTAGCTCGGCTATTTTTTTATGAATCTTCGGTACTTCCCAACTCACGTAATTTTCATGCGATCCAAATGCAGTTTGTTGCTTTCACTAGAGCCTCGGCGTCCCATAGCCATGTAAAAGGCCGATTTTTGAATTTTTGCCTTAATCAAAAAATAATAATATTTTAATGCTGAAAAACGCATTCAAAAATAGTTCTCTATGTCAAGCTGTCCCCCGCCAAAAAAAAAAGGAAATTCAAAATTCGGCCTTTTACATGGCTATAGGCTAGAGTTGATCTAACACTAGCATTTTTGGGGGAATATTCTGTAAAGAGCTCTGATAGTTGGGATGTACCGAAGACATACCAAAAAAAATAGCGATTTTTTTCAACTTTTTGGGGGGTGCCCCCCCCAATGGGGGAGCAAAGTTAAAATTTATATATATAACGAAGCGCAATTCTTTGCTCTATAGCATGCAAAAAGAATCAATCAGTTATCTCTAACCGATATTTTTTTATGATGTATAGAGTAGGGAAAGGTGGCCATTCTCAGGGACGGTCCCCTTAATGCATATTGGAAAGCCTCATGAGTAGATAGCCATGAAGATTTTTCTTCATGTTGTCAAACTAAAAAGAGGATACTGAGTCATTTATTGGTCACATTTCCTAATACATATGAGTATTTTGCTTCTGAGAAGTGCCACTAAATCAGTTCCTCCTCCCCAAGGCTACCTGACAGTGACAGTGTGGAGAGGGACATCAGAGTCTACAAGTGTGCGTATTACATGGGACACCTACCCTGATGGCATCATAGCTGAGGCACTCACACGTCTGGCCCCGGCACCAGACATGCTGGGCTCCCTTACTACTTCACAGCAGTCCTCAAGACATGCGCTCAAGATTTGTGGCACAAATGAGTACCTCCTGGCTGGTCGTCCTATCACCCAATATAAGGTGATGATTGGATTATTATTGTTGTTATTTTTATCATTCTTCTTCTTCTTATTTATTTATTTATTTATTTATTTATTTATTTATTTATTTTATATTTGTATATTTTTCAAAACATGGGAATTTCATTTTGTGTTTGTTATTATTGTTATTATTATTAGTGTTATTTATATTTTTATTTGTTAAATTAATTATTTTTGTTTAATTATTTTATTTATTGTATTTTATTTATTTATCTATTTTTTTACACATTTCCAGGAATATCACTTGAGTATTTTAGTTTTTAGCTAGTTTTTCTTGCAATTTTAAAAATATATATTCAGATTTTTAAAATATATCTTCTCCTCTCAAGACTGTCCGTGTGTGGCTGTCTCGAGGCAAGAC